GTGAGGTTTCAGTATGTGTCTATCCTCACTCAAAGCGTCTACGTGTCCGGCACTATCCAACATCACACTGCAAGTCGTGAGGTTTCGTATGTAGGTATCCCCACTCAGCGCGTCTATCTGTCTGGCAAACTCAAAAACCAACCCATCTGTGAGGTTTCAGTATGCAGCTATCCCTACTCAACGCGTCTAGACTATGTGTCTGGCGAACTCAAAAATGCATCAACTCGGAGGGGATGTATTTCCCTTATTGTCTGAGTCGATTTTGTTGCATCGCAGGGCACAAAAAGCATGATATGGGACGGGAAATTCATCTGCAGATCTCCGCTTTGAGCGAGATTAGGTGTACCGTTTGTCACGTGGCCCTCGCCGTTGTTTTATATGTGAAATGCTTTCGTTTTCTTGTAAAAAAGCCACAAGCTCCCCCTCCTGGGTCTCCGAACCCCGAACGAGCGTCGGATCGATGCCGAACACCTTCCCAGCACTAACCACGCCTCCCGACTGGGTTCCCATCGGCACACTTGCTCCGACTGGACTTAAGCACCTTCAGCTTCTGCACGTTCTCGTATGCGCTGCGCCCACTCTTTCCAGATACTCGCCGCAGTGTGAACGGAGCTGGCGGGTACTTTCTGGAAGGCGGGCCCTTCCTCTTCTTGGAATCACTCGCGGGACGAGACAAACTCCCCCAGCTGCTGTCTTCGGCCGTCTTTCCACTCTTTGTCTTCGTTCCTCTTTCGTTCCTCCTCCCTCTGCTTGTTGAACGCTTGCTCGCAAACCTTATTCATCTCAGTTTGGCTACTCTCTGTGAGTGTGTGGTTTATGGACCATCAACATTTTGCACAACCCCCCGGGGCAGCGTTGGAAAAAATAAACTAATACCCCCCGCGGTACGTCAATTTCCCCCCGGGGGGTTGGTTTCAGAAAATAAACGATCCCCTCCCCGGGGGGAAAACTCCGTAGTTTACGGTAGTGGCAATAATAATGCCACTGCGTAGTCAACAATAGTGGCAATAGCACGGGCCCCTCCTGGTTTTTATATTTGGTCTCGGATCAGCGTCCTGTTCTCCTTTTGCAGATGTGGTGTTATCTCCCCGGGGTTTGAACTCTACGGCATGTCTGTGTGTTTACAATCTCCGATAGCTTGGGCATTTTTTACCGCTCCACAACTCCTGGGCATGCGGGGATGCGATCTCCTACGAATTTGGGTCACATATGCCTGTGAACCACGGCCATCTTTTGCCGAAGCACGACCAAACCGGTGTGACGAAGAGCGCGTAATTTTCTTTTTGCTCAGAAGTGAACATATCGTCTAACGGCGCCCTATCGGCCTCGCTCTGGTCCGAAAGGTGCGATAATGAGACGTTACGGAAATCAAACTTTGGCCGAAATATAGAGGCTTTGTTTATTTCCCTCCTGGGGATGAGAAGGGGAAAAAGGTCGCTCGCTCCGCGGCTCATTAAAAATCTCTCTGCGTCTTAGGGCTTGGGGCGAAATACAGGGGGACTCCGACGTTTTGAATTGCCACTACCGGGGGGGTTAGATTAACCGTAGATGCCAAAAATGCCACTATTGAGGGCGTATCACTGTCAGGGTGCCACTTGTATTGTATATCGGGACCACGAGTCAACTGCTGTCCTTCCATTTCTAGAGCGGAGAGCATGTCCTATTATTGCTGCCACACATGTCCTTCAAACGTGTATACTTGTCTCTCATCACGGGAGTCGAATGATAGTTCAGTCGAAGGCCAGCACAGAAATATGCGCATGCATGTGACCACAACCTGCTGCACCTACCATGTGACCATGGTCCCCTTGCTTCCGCGACAGGAGGATGGAGATGCAATCTATGACACCACGATTTTCAGACAATTTCAAATAATTACTCTTGGCCAACACGAATCAAAAACATTCACAACGGACATTTTCCCTCGGTACTAAGGGTGGTGTTGAGTAAACACCAGGGTGGTTGTTGGGGGGAGGACTCACGTCGGCGGAGTGTGAGTGGCCTCCATTGACACAGCCTAGGCTGTGACGACCTAAGAGCGCTCGCCGCGGATGCGGCGGGCCAGCTGGATGTCCTTGGGCATGATGGTCACGCGCTTGGCGTGGATCGCGCACAAGTTGGTGTCTTCGAACAGGCCCACAAGGTAGGCCTCGGCGGCCTCCTGCAGAGCGAGCACGGCCGATCCCTGGAAGCGGAGGTCGCTCTTGAAGTCCTGGGCGATCTCACGAACAAGGCGCTGGAAGGGGAGCTTGCGGATGAGCAGCTCGGTGGACTTCTGGTAGCGACGGATCTCGCGCAGGGCAACGGTGCCCGGCCTGTAGCGGTGGGGCTTCTTGACACCGCCGGTGGCCGGTGCGGACTTGCGGGCAGCCTTGGTGGCCAGCTGCTTGCGGGGGGCCTTGCCTCCGGTGGACTTACGGGCGGTCTGCTTCGTGCGAGCCATGTTGTTGAGAGAGAGGAACAGGAAGGTAGAGAGAAGAGAGAGTTGGAAATGAACGATATGGGGGAGGGCATCGGGTAGGAGACCTCGCCACAAAACGCGGCGAGTTAGGTACAAGGATGTTGGAGATTGGAGATTTGAAAAGTGTCGGTTCGTGACGTCTTGTTTATCGAATCTGGAGTCATGATTGGCTCAAAGATGGAAATCGCTCTTGTTTGCGTTTCGAACCGGAATATGTGGCTCCTCCTTCTCTCTTGCGCTCGCCTCTTCGTCCTCTGCCGTTTGATTCTCCACCTCCCACACACCCTTGTCACCCCTCCTCTCTCTCAACGCTCAACTTCTGTTCAGCACCAAGCAGCAGCCATGTCGACCGCCAAACCCACGTACAATGTGGTGAGTACCCGGCCATGTATGCATAGGTGAAGGCTACGCTGCGTTTTCCGATTGGAGAGAGAAATAGTTGCGAGAAATGGTTGTACGCACGGGCGTTCGCCGAACTCTCCGTGATTCATCTTGTTGTGATTTCCGAATGTCGGTAAGCCACAAGGTGTTCGCAAAGTAACACCCCAACAAGCACGATGAAACGATGCAGGGTCCTATGTCTCTGAAAGTTCTCACGTGTCCAACGCTGCTGTGCAGTACGTAGTCGTGAAGTCATACCGATGATGCAAGCGGCCGTTGGTTTGGGCGCGATTGAAGCGCACACGTCGCCACGTTGCTGGGCATTGGGCATCCGTGAAGGTGCGTTGAAGCCGGCCATACGCACAGAAATAACGCTTTTGAATAGGGTGTTCCTTTGCTGATTCTTTACCCCCATACCCGTCCGTTTCTCTCCTTGCACCACAGATGGTATTCGATGCCATCAAAACCCTCAAGGAGCGGAACGGATCCTCCATCCAGGCCATCAAGAAGAGCATCACCGCCACCTACCCTACCCTCAACTTCACGCCGCACCAGATGCGCAGCGCCCTTAAGAAGGGAGTGGAGTCTGGCAAGTTCGTCAAGGTGAGACCTGACCGCCCCTTGATTCTTGACTCCTTGGTTATGCATAGTCTAGTCTACAAGCGTACAATCTTCATTACTTGATTGCACTCTCAGCCGAAACGTGGCTGACGCATCCCCATCCAGGAGGGTACTAGTCTGCGCATGCATGTGAATGATCGTTCCCTGCGCAAAATACCGATGAATCGTGTGGTGAGGTGACATTAGAGGGAGCTGTCTCCTGTGGACCAGGCAACTGTAGCTGAGAGTGTCACTGTCAAGAACAAGGTAACCATACTTGTGAAATGCATACGAGGTAACACCCCCCGTAACACCATTATAATTAGACTCAAGAAGGAAACTTGATCACCGGGCGCGTTTGTGGGTTTTGCGGTCCCTCATGTCACCCGTGTATGGTCTGAGGGTATTGTACTTTTTTATGGGTATGGGACTCGGGTTGTCCCTTCGGTAAATGTCAGCACCAGGTGTGGTTTGTGGGGTTGCGGGTAGGATATCGGTTGACAGGTTTTGTCGTGTGTTGCGCGTTCCATACTGACTAAAAGGGACCTCTTCACGTCCTTTTGCCGTCAAGCAGATGAAGGCCTCGTACAAGCTGAGCGCCGAGGCGAAGAAGCCCGCCCCCAAGAAGAAGGTCGTCAAGAAGGTGGTGAAGAAGGTCGTCAAGAAGAAGGTGCCGAAGAAGAAGGTGGCCAAGAAGCCCGCTGTGAAGAAGACCACGACGAAGAAGCCCGCCGCGAAGGCCACCACCACCAAGAAGACCGTCACCAAGAAGAAGACCACCACCACCAAGAAGCCCGCGGCTAAGAAGACCACCACCAAGAAGAAGCCCTCCACCCCCAAGAAGAAGGCTGCCGCTCCCAAGAAGGCCTAGGCGTAAAGCCATCTCCATCGTCCGCTCCTTGAGAGGCATGTCCTCCATCTTGCTTCAACAAACCACCTGGTGTTTACTCAACACCACCCATCCGACCAAAGAAAACAGCACCCTACAAAAGCCTTCGGCATCGCTGCTACACAGCTGACGAACGGTGCTCGTTGGTTCTCACGCACTTTCGTAGGATCGCAGGTGCCCGAGGCACGGGTAGGTTTGTCATGGTCGGTCACATCGCTAACGCTCAAGCTTTCTGTGCACAGCAGCTGCGTGGTAATTTCGTCACGATTGACGTGTTTTGCAGCGGGAAAAGTCGCTATAGTACTGCGCTCTCTCGCCCGCTTGTTGACGCAGGTCTTCAGGGGGGGGCACGAATGGCGCATGCGTAACTCATGTCGGACAAAACGTGCTGCGATCTCCTTTCAATCTTTGCGTTCATAGCCAGCAGCGGGCGAGGCGGTTTGACTATCTCGGCCAATCATATGTTGCACTGTTCCACGTGTTGCCGTCGTACATCACGGTTCCATTTCGTATTTGGTTGTCATGCTCTTATGCCTCCAGTCACCAGTCACCAGTCATATTTGTTCTTCCCCGTCATTTGACCTACAAGTAAATGCTACTCCAGAGTAACGTTATTGTATGCGTATTAAGTACTCGCGTGTTGATCGCTCTCATGCTATTTACGGTGGTGACGAATATGCCCTCAGTTGGGCGTGGGATGCACCGCAACGCGACGGACGGCGTCCGTGGTTGCGCAAAGAGCCATCTTGCGACGTTATGAAGCGGATGGTGTTGGGCATGCTACGCGCTCTGAAGGGCAACGGGAGATTGCGATGAAATGTAAATGCGTTTACACATGCATACAAGTGAACGTAATATAGACTTATACCTTACATATGTACCCTTGGTTGGTGTTTCCGCTTCTACAGGGTGGATTTCTTCAAGATATGGAACGTTCTGTAAAATTATCACCCCGTTTTGTAGTAGCATTGAATTTGCTGGCATATTGTTTTGTTCGTTCCGGAAGCAAACCTCATTCATGCTCAAGTGGTGTTTAGTTCAGGCAGCCATCGGTGGCAAACATGGACGTTCCTCATCATTCATGTTGTGGTTGGTAGCCCCTAAAGTCCTTGGCTCTAGTACCTCATTCCCCTTAGATCTCAGGCAAACCCGGCGAAACGCGATGCCATCATGTTGCGGTGCATTTTTCAGTCCTATCCAAGAGGGGCGACGTTCTGCCCCGTAGACTAATTAACCACGGTTTGACGTTGAGACCGTCTTCCTCCCACAAGTTGCCAACCGGGCAGGGAGGGAGTGTTTTTTCTATTGTCATTGACAGATAGATCAACTACATTCCACCCCTTCCATCCCACCGTTGCTACTTGCAATCAAGCACCATCTGTTAGGGGTGCAGATTCTTCCCTTTCCCCGGTTCAAGGTACATGTACAAGTAGTCTGTTCTGGCATTTTGGCGATACTGCTGTACTTAAACGTCTGTTTGAATTTTCCGTTACATTATTCGTCTAATTGGACCCGAAACACGACCACGACTGACATCTATACAAGCAAGCGTACGAATAAGCGAACAAAACGTTGGACGGTGTACCCATGTGCCCATGCAGTCAGTAAGATATCACCCCTCCCCCCCCGCGGGCCATTTTTTTTGCTCGATCAGCATGTATGTATGGTGCGTATGTAGCAGTGACACAAACGATCTGTTTTCGGAACGTTTATCACGGGGGCGGTTCAAACGCCGTCAATATTCATCGGCACCGCCACTCTTTCTTGTGTTAAGAGGAATCGAGCTTTGAAAATTGGTCCAGAGTGTCAAATCTCATCTCTCACCGATGCGCACTTCTTCTGTATAGTAAGCAGCAGCAGTATTTAGTGCCCATCAATGCTGCACATACAGAACGCGCCACCACGTAAGAACTTAGCAGTCAAGAACTTGAGCCTCAAACAATCCAAAATCTAAGGACTTGGCCACAAGAACAGGTGCTCAGTTCCGACGTGGTTAAGGAACAAGAACCTGCCCTATGGTGTACAAAAGCGCATACAGATAAGAACGGAGCCCCAACAACTCGGCGGCTGCAAGATAAGAACTCAGGAGGTTGTGGGTAACCCAAGCAGCAAGTAAATTTCAGATTCGAGCCAGGGGGGTGGAGAGGACCTCGTGACAAAATGCTTGTACGCGCGGAGGGGGAGGGCGTACTCTCTCATGTTTCGCATGCCTTAGCGGATAGATCATTGACCACGCGTCCTCGAGAGGACGCACTAATGTTCCAACAGAACCAATCACTGATGATGCCAATCGTTTCCTCCCACATCGAAGTACTGTGTCAAAAGTGGCTAAAACATATGTTTCCCTCGCCGATCTACCCTATCGACATCATTTCCCGCCTCATCAACCCACCTCCCATGCCACAGAACAGCAACCGTCTTCTGGCTATTCCATGCCTCAAATGTCCCCCTGTGCCTTTCCTTCTACATTTATTTATTTACTTATGTCAACTCAGTCATGTACATTTCTCTGTCCTTGTCGCCCAACACGGACGTTTAGACATGATCCTGGCCTTCGCATTCGGAGCCGCACTCACATTTGAACTCGTCGTCTTCGTTGTCTACCTTCCTGAATCTTCATCGACGTCCTCAAAGGCCGTTTTCCCCAGTCCTAAAATTGACCATCGGCTTGCTCCCTGCATCCATTTGGTCCATGCAAGTACCTTACCTTCTTCAACATCCGTACACATTTCGACCCTCTTATCCTTGGATCCTTTTGTTATGTTGTATTCTCTCTCGGCGAAAGAAGCAGATTTTTTTCTTGTTCTCGAACCCCTCTAGACCTACCGTTCGTTTCCAATCCAATAACCTCATCGATTTTGAACTGGACTCGGGTGGCTGTGCAAGATTTTTTTACGTACTCTTCAAGAATATCACTACATCGTCCACTTCCTCGACGAGCCGGGGCCGGTCGAGATCGCCCTCTGCCCTGCTCGTTATGATACCGCTGCTATTGCTGTCTGCGGGTCGTGGTGTCTCCAAGTACACCGTGGTAGCGCTCTCCTCAAAGGCATCTTTCGTAATATCAATATGTCGCGTTGTGCTGAGGTGGGTGATCCGTCTTCCGGGGATCCTGCGCGCACTGATTAGCGCTTGAGCGTTGGGGATTTTTTTTTCGTACGATTGGTTGTTTGTGGTACGGAGTTCTCGTCTTGAAGCTTTAGGGTTGGTTGTTTGGGGTTTTCTTCACGGCTTCGTTTATGCTCTTTGTTCGTGTGTTTGAGGTTCTGTTGTCGTTGTTTGCATAGGTACGGCATTTCGTTTAGTTATGACCCCTTTTTTGCGGTCCCTTGGACGATCGACTTTTGTTGTCGTTTGGTACGTCGTTTCGTGTTGACTTGTTTTCTTTTTCTGTTGCCCTGCATAGAACAGTTGGTTAGTACTCCGACCCCTTTTGCTTCGTCTCTGTGACGTTCGGTTTTCACCGATGGGTACGTCGTTTTGTTCCTCGATTTTCTGCGTCTTTGACTTGGTCGTTCCGACGACTGGGTTTTCTTTTTGGCGTTTGAGTTTAGGCGTATCGCCTTTTCGTTGGGTTGTGGACGTTTCGTTTGTTTTTCCGTTTGGGCTTCTAGTTCTGTTTTAGTCTTGTTCTTTGGACCGTTTTCTTCCCGTGTTCGTTAATGCTTTTCACATCTGTGTTTTACGACGATGGTCTTTGTCCATCCGATGTAGAGGTGGGGGAGGGTGAATTGTTGAGTTAGTTGTGGAATTTCGCATCTGCCTTCGATTCATTTTCTTTTTTAGATTTGATCAGGGTCATATTCAGGGGTTTCTATGTATCAGCATATGCGAACCTCCAGGGTGGGCTAGTGTCATGGGATTTGAGTACAAGGATCTGAACGATAGTTCTAGGCAAGATATGTAGTCTAGATCTGGTGGGAACCACAACTCCTTTGGGTTGTTGCTAAACAGGGAATATTGCCATGGAGTCCAATAGAGTCCGCCCTCTCAGCAAGGAGCAGCCTGCGTCCCCTTCTGTTCAGTCTATCCGAAGCAGGAGTCAGCAATTGTGCTGCCGCAGTAGAATTAATCAAGGAAGGGAGAAACACCAACAACACACAAGTGAGTCATCATCAGGGTCTTCAGGGATTGCTACGCGTGTGAACCTCGTAACACTACTTGTACGCCATCTACAACCTTATTTCACTCCCTGGCTTGATGCCTCCATTTTTCTTGCTTGTCCACTTCGCCTCCCAGAGGCTTCTCTCCGCAACCTCTCCTCTACCACATCGTACATGGATACGGTCTACTTGCCTTTTCAGCTTGCTGACGCCTCTTCCCGACGTAAGGAGTTGGATCCGAAGGGGTGGCGTACTCTCTCTCTCTCTCTCTCATGTTTTGGATGCCTTAGAGGTTACCGTTGACCACGTGTCCTCGATAGGACGGAGCAAGCATTATTCCGACAGGATCGATCACCGATGGCCAATCGTTGCTTCCTACTTTGCGAACAAGGTGGCTCAATTATTTTTCCCGTCGGTATCACTTTGTGGTACTTGGATATGAGTCCGATCTGGTGCATCCTCTGTGGGGGATACGCGTATGGGAAGTATGGGTGTGATGGATATGTATGCGGTTGGGGTCCAAGTGCGGTCCCCCCAGGTGAGCACACGGCGGCGTGCTCCCGGCACTTGCCTGAGGGGCTTGCGTATTGGTTACCAGCTTGCCTGAGGGGCTTGCGTGACGGATATATATATTATACATGGTCCTTTTTCATCTGCTGTTCCTGGGATAACATAGTACCCAGTCTCAACACCCCAGACCGCTGAGGGCGGTAGTGCATACAAACACACCTTACGCCTTTTCAACCCATTTCCTATGCCCCAGTATAGCTACCGCCTTCTCCTGGCCATTGTTACATTCGTCGAACATCTCTCTGTGCCTTTTCCTTCTACGTTTTTTCCCAGCTAGCTCAGTCATGTACATTTCTTCCCTCTCCTTCGTGTACAACGGACATTTCGCAAGTACATGAACGTGGTCTTCGCCCTCGGAGCCAGCCGCATTCACAACTGGATTTGTCGTTTTCATCGTCTACCTTCCAAACCTTGTCTGCGTTCTTCTACGTTGTAAAAGGCCAATATCCCCAGTCCTAGGTTTGACCTTCAGCTTTTTCTCTGCACCCATGGGCCCATCCATGTAGTAGGTACTCCTTAAATCGATTCCTTCTTTAAAATTGCGTACACGTCGAGACCCTCATTATCCTCGGTTTCTTTGGTTAGATTCTGTCCTTCTCTTTCGACAAAGGCAACAGTTTTATCTCCTTCAACCCCTCTAACCTCCCCTCTCCAGTACACCTTGGTCAATTGTGACCCCCTTCCATGCGTCATCCACAACAATAACTCACTCCGGAGGTTAGTACATACACCCATTCTTCTTGTTTGCCCACTTCGCCTCCTAATATGAACTTGGAAAACAAGAACATGTGCTCGGTTGAAGGTAACCCACAGCAAAATAAGCGGTGGCGCGTTCTTCTGTAGTCTACATTGTTGTCACATAAGAGCAGTACCGTCGTACCTGCTGCTGTAAGGACAAAGCAATTTTTCATTATCGAGTCTTGAGTATGAAACAACACACTACAGAATTCCGTGTGTGTCACGCACGCAATTTTTCACCCTCCATGTATGGCAACCGACCACAATTTTGCTGCCTCGCATACAGATGGCGACCTCTAGTTTCGGCCGAGGCTGGGGTTCTTATTTTGCTGATCCTCCTCTTGTTGTGGGCTACAGGTGCTCCAGTTCTTAGCTTCTGATTTTTTCGGGTCTCAATTTCTTAACTGCTAAGTTCTTAAGTGCGGGCGCTATCTGTATGTCGGTCGCATGTACACGAGCGTGCAGTGCATTCGGCGCCACTGCTCTCTCTGTGATTGCAGTCGCTCCGCGTGTCTTTCTGCGGTTCTTAGAGAGTGCTAAACAAATCACTGAACAATTTCGTGCCTGCCGCGTGCGGGCCTTGGTACTTGAGAGGGCGATGGGGAGTATATAGGGAGAGAAATGGGGTGATCTATTCGCCTCCGAGGCAAGCTACAACCACCCAAGAACAAACAACAAGCACATCAGCGTTTCAGTGTATCAGTGTATAACAGCATCACGGCAACATCACAACAGGCGCATTGTTTTTTATTTTAAGATTTTGCGGCGAGGAAACAAAGTTCAATTTTTGCATTTAAGCAAACACGACCAATCAGCGTGGCCCATTTTGTTCCCGCTCGTGCTCGAGATTACCCGGACGTCGCAGGACTATCTTAATAGGGTTGTCTAGTTGCCTCGCTCCTCTCGCCATTGCCACATCACAACACACATCAATCACCTCTCTGTCTTCCTTCTCATCAAGCGAACATGTCTGGACGCGGAAAGGGCGGTAAGGGTTTGGGTAAGGGCGGTGCCAAGCGTCACCGCAAGGTACTCCGCGACAACATCCAGGGCATCACCAAGCCCGCCATCCGCCGTTTGGCTCGCCGTGGCGGTGTGAAGCGTATCTCGGGACTCATCTACGAGGAGACCCGCGGCGTGCTCAAGGTGTTCCTCGAGAACGTCATCCGTGACTCGGTCACCTACACCGAGCACGCCCGCCGGAAGACGGTGACGGCCATGGACGTAGTGTACGCCCTCAAGCGCCAGGGCCGCACCCTCTACGGTTTCGGCGGCTAAAGCTTGCTCATCATCCTGCCCTGCTTCAACAAGACAAGAGGCTCATCGCTCACACGCACCCGCGAGCGAGACGCCCCCTGCATAAACCAACCTGGTGTTTACTCAACACCACCCAGCCCACCAAAGAAAACCTGCCGCACGATCGTTTTTGGCGTTCCTCCTTCCGAGGTTCCAAGCCCGAAACACCCCGGAAGAAATTTGAATTTGTCGGGAAAAAAGCCAACGGCCGAAAGAGGTGAGACAGCAGCAGCATCCCTTTCTTTCGTGTTCGTGGTATCATAGTGTACGTATGCATTCGTATTGCCGTCTTCTGTTGCTGTGGCCGATTTGCCTGCATCGTCGGGTGACACGTGCGATTTTCACGCTCCGTGTCGATCGAGGGTCACCTGTTTCGTGCTCCTGAAGTGTAGTAAATTAAATTAAATACTTCCTTGTAAGGAAGGACGAAAACACTTTGAACAAACGCGTTCTCAAGAGTAGTAAGCCTTGGCAGTCACTCACGTAGTTCTCTCTCGGTTGCTACCATTTCTATCTTTTATCCAGAGAATAGCTCGGGCTCCTCTATGACACCCTTCACTTCCTTGAGAAACAAATATTTTATGTTTTTGACCGGACTGAGACTGACGACGTCTTTTCGTTGGCCAGTCGTTTGTCTCGCTTCTTCTGAAGAAGGTTTGGCCTTCTCTTTAGCGTTTTATCGAAGGAACAGGGGAGTTCGTTATCTTCTTTACCCCCTTTTCAGGTTTCATCTGCTTTTTTTGTTTGCTCGTGTAAGGAGCACCACATCCATCCATGTTTTACCTCCAAATGTACATCGGGTGTATGCATGAGCGCCTTTTTTTCGCTGTCCGGGGTGCCTTTTTTTAGGTTGCCTGAAGACTAATAGTGCTACGGCCTTCTTGCAATACAACATAATACAAATAATTTGATGCGAGGTGAACTTTTATCGGGCAGCACAGTCTACGGTTGAAAGGCAGCAGCAACGTTTCACTAGCGAGTGCTTGCGCTGAGGTGGGAAGAGAACAACTGCTGCGCAACAAATCTACCGTATTCTACACAAGATACCACACCCTCATAAGATACCACACCCCCCCCACAATACCACACCCCGGTGGTAATTTTGGGTGTATTTTTCAGACCATGATTTATCACCGGGGTTACACAAGATACCACACCCCGGTGATAACACAGGTTACGCCGCATACATTCCCTGTCTCTATCACCGGGGGTGAAACAGCATCACACACGCACAGCTTGTACCGTACGGGGGGAGACATGGAGACCTCAGAGAACATGAACGTGCGGGAAGAGCAGAATGCCGCCGCAAGTACATCTGCTTCTCCCACGACTGCTTCGACCGCAGCAGCACAGGCGCCACAGATCACCTCGTTCTTTCAACCCGAGCAGACTTCTACGCAAGCGGCACACCCCCTGTTTATCACACACCCGAACACACTCTTTGGGTGTTCCGACGTGTTATCACACCCCATTTTATCACACCCCCTTTTTTATCCCACTCCCAAACCCTCCCTGTGGGTGGTCGCATGTGCTACCACACCCCCTGGTTTATCACACCCCCTGAGGAGCTCCTGTGAGCTAGGCTTTATCACCGGGGTACACAAGATACCACACACCCCCCACAATACCACACCCGGTGATAATATTTTTGAAGCCCAAAATGTTATCACCGGGGTGTGGTATCTTGTGTAGAATACGGTATCTGGTCAATCAAATTAATTTTAATGTGACCAATGCCGTATTTTCGACAGTCCAAGAGCCTCACGAAACTTAATGAAGCCCGCCCACGTCGCCCACCTCACGATTGATCCAAATACCGTTCGTTTGGTACTCTGTCAGCCCCGCAAAGCGCAAGCACTCTGAAGTCGAACAGTCCTGAATAGCGCCAAGCCGTAACTATAGAGGGATTTTCAGGCCCTGAATAGTGCCGGTTTGGCACTATTCAGGCACAATTCTGAATAGTACCGGTGCCCGGTATAGTGCCGGTCAAATCGCCTGGACACATACCGGCACTATATCGGGACACCTACTGTAGCTGGCATATACATGTAGCTCTACAGGAGTGAAGAAGTGAGTGTCCAGTTAGTTGGTGTCCCTCAACCCTCACTTACTTGTTAAAACATTGGGCAAAGGCTACTTTTTTACTCTTCTATGCAGACATCAGGAAGCGTGAGTAGCTCGACATCTACATACATTGCACCCCATCTGTATCTTACGTTCCGCTGGACGAAGACCGTGACCGGGGGGAATAGTAGGCATGTTGTAGAATAGATCATCATCGGTACGCATACAACTGCCTTTTCTACACGAGGGTGGTTGCGTGATGGCATGAGGATACCCTTTGTTTCTGATCCGATGAAAAAAACAGAACACTTCCTTCCTCATTGGGCACTACAATAAATGTTTGCGGACAAGGTACTCCCGCCTCATCACTGAAACGCACAACAAGTGTTAGTGGCGGGTTCCGAGCTAAAGACGAATCACCTTTCCCACCTCGGAGAAGAAAAAAAAAAAAAAATGACTTCGCAGATCGTTCTCAAACGCCCAAAAACGACGTTTAAAAA